CTAGTGGATAGAGTGTTTGCCCAGAGAGCGGAAGGTCGGTGGCTCAATCCCCGTGCCACGTCATACCAAATACGATGGTAGTTATTGTTATCCTGCATTGCGCTCGGCGTTAGGGACCATTTTAAAAGTTCGATGTCGGATAAAAATCCTAATTACTTAAGTTTAGGGGTGGGGGTTAATGACCCTGCAGGTTTTCCATCCGACAAAATCAACTTACCTGCTATTTCCAATGTTTTGTATAATAATTAAAGTAAACCGATCCTATTTGCATTCATATGCTATTAGGAGTCGTCATTAACAAGGTTCATTTAGTGCAGTGGGTAATATATGATGACAGATTTGATCTATGAAAATCATACAAATGATTGTGAATACCTATTCTAAAACTCCATTCGATAAACGTTCCGAAAAAAACCAACAGGACAAAACACAAGAATGCCTGACAAAGGAGGCCACTAGAATCGGAAATTCAACATTTTCAGAATTAGTTTTTGTAGGGATTGGGGGTACATGTCTCAAAACTTAAGGACTTCATTTTTTTATACGACATCGAACTTTTGAACTGGTCCCTAGTCGTCTCGGGGTACGTTTTTAGTGGGTATCCATCCTAAACTGAGACATGGTGGGCTAGCACTATAAAACCGGTATTAGTCCGGACTACTACACACAGCTACACACACATACACGTTGCTATATTAGCGCAATGATCATGGATGCAACGTTAAACCTCATCCCATCACACCCCATTTAACCTAATCTAATAAAACCCCTTTTCACCTCACCCCGTCAAACCCCAGAACGAAAGGAATAAAAACATATGGACTTACCCCATTTAATCAAACCCCATTTCACCTCATCCCATCACACCCCATTTAACCTAATCTAATTAAAACCCTTTTCACCTCACCCCGTCACACCACAGAAGGGAAGGAATAAAAACATATGTACTTAATTAGAATAGTTGTAGTGTACTTTCATTGAGTTTTGTTTTCTTGTCAATCTGCAAATATCGACAAACACATGAAACAGACATTTCGAAACACATTTTTAATAGTTTTAATTTGGTTTAACGTTGCAAAGATTTTGTACCAAGATATAAAATACAAAGTTGATACACTTGGTATAAATTTACAATAATTTATTATGTTAATGTGATCAAAGTGTCTGTAAAACTACAAACATTGTTGACTTATCTGGTATTTTCTATCAGTGCATGGTTTCCAGGATCACCAATGGTCCGTAAATACCAATATTAATTTACATTTTAAACATTTTAATTCTTATCACTACGACTCATAAGTGACATTTCCCTCATGCACATTTGATAGGATGATGGCTACGCGATAATTGGTGTATACAGTCTAATTATTTGATGAATATAGTGAACAATGTTGTTTTTTACTCTGGTTGGGTTTATTTTGCATAAGTTACATGAGAGGCTGTGTCATCGGCCGTGGATAGGTTACTCGTTAGAAACTGGGTTCAGGGGCTTGCCGGAATCTCCCCTCGATAATCCAGTCACTGCAATGGATAAAAGAGTGTAGGTGTTTACTTCCGGTACATGCGCTGTAGACACTTCCTCTTACACCAACATGTCGAAGAGAGGTGAGGAAATGAAACACTCGCTTCAAAATCCATCGTAAATCGCTGTTAATCGGGAATATCAACCCCACAAACTTGTGTTTTCGAATAAAACGAACTTCGCGTTAGTGATTTAGACTTAATTAGACAGGTAGTTAGTAGCCGATTGCTCAACATGCCTGTTAATATTGGCAGACAAGCGCCATGAATACCAGTATCGTTTCAAGATGAAAACAAGATTAACCTTCACTGCATAGACAACATGTAATTGTTCCTGATGTGCAGCACGGGCTTTCTAGGAGATACATAGTGATACAAATTGATTATGGCATATAATGCATGACACTTGACTTCACTTAAACAGTAACTCCCATGTAGTCTAGTAAGTTTACCGACGAAAGCATGTGTAAAGTTGCGTGACATTTACCCTGTGAGTGTTAGCAGGTTGCTTTAAATGTGGCCATAATGAATATAAACATATGAACCTGTCCACAATTTTATCTTTAGGCTCCATATCTACTTGATTTATCTTTACAATCAGAAATGGTCATAAGAAATATATTGAAAACAGATCTTGGCATATAGGCCTATATGACCACAAAGTGGGTTCACGAAAATTAGATTAATATGTGATTGAAAAATAAACAAGAAAGAACTGTGATCGTGAAGTGATGTAAATTTGTATATTGCTTGTCAGGGATACCCTTGTCAGTTCATCGAATAAATTTTGACTAAATATCTACATGACCATGATGCATGAAAATCATAGTGATATGGTTCATATTTGTAATGAAGAAAACAATAGGTACTACTGTAAATAGTACACCTAATGTGATATTGAAGTGATTTCACAAGTTACATCAACTCGTTGCTGAGTTGTGTCCCTGAGTTGTGTCCCTTTCGTGTTTGAATACACTGGTCATGCATTTATATAAAAGTCATTGATGAAAAGTCACACATTAAGCCGACATGATAAAAATTGAAATACCCTTCAAAGCAGCTTTAAAATTCCAACAGAGTCAGTCATTTTTGTATCCCTAACACTGCCTTGTGTCGATGCATATTGATAGTATTTGACAGTATGTAATATATTTCAGGTAGAGGAGGTTCCTCCGGGGGGAAGTTCCGAATCTCCCTCGGTCTGCCCGTTGGGGCAGTCATCAACTGTGCTGACAACACAGGTAAAATTGATTCTTGACTTTGAAAATTTCCATATTAACCCTTTCTCTTTATGGATAAGATGGGCCTATCACAGGACAATTTAGGGTCAATTTGATTTCACTAGTTTACGAGTCTTGCTTTGCAACAAAAATGATGTATTTGTTTGACTGGGAAAATAAAAGACATATTTTCCAACAATCTCCCAAATAATTACATGCATACATAGTGTAAGTATGTGAAATTTCATTGTGCCGGAATGATATGAAACATTGCACAATACTGGTATATCATAATTCTCTATGTTTGATTGTAAAGTGAAAGACATTAAATTACTTATTTACTATAAATCTGATACATTTACTGTTCTAGAGAAAACTTATTGTGAGTTTTGCAGAAGTATGTACTCTCTTGAATCTTAAATTTCGCTTAATAGTGTTTTGATTTCTCTCAATATTATTTTGACAGGCGCAAAGAACTTGTATGTTATTGCTGTCCATGGCATCAAGGGACGTTTGAACAGGTTGCCAGCTGCTGGCTCTGGAGACATGTTTGTTGCAACTGTCAAAAAGGGAAAGCCAGAGTTGAGAAAGAAGGGTATGTTTGGTTTAGTTTCAATAAATATTACAATGAGAAATTGTTAAAATTATTCACATTGTCACATTGTTAAGTAAATTAGAACCCTGGATTATGTTTGTGAAGAAATAATTTTGACATCTTTTTTTCCTCAGTTATGCCAGCAGTGGTCATCCGGCAGCGAAAACCATTCCGAAGGAAGGATGGTGTCTTTATCTACTTTGAAGACAATGCGGGAGTTATCGTCAACCCAAAGGGTGAAATGAAAGGTAACAATGAACTTATTGGAAAAAACTTGAATATATATAATGAAACATTTATGCCATGTCATCATGGTTGTGCTTACATGTGTTTTGTGAATTGGATAAATGTAGAACCAAAGTAAGTTTGATTATGTAACACTGTGAATGTCCCCGTGGAGACCTCTAGGACAAGGTTTATGGGATCAGTGATTATGTGTTGTGTTCCAAGGGTGGTGTCATGTTTTCAGTCACTGGTTTGCCTGGTCCAGGTTAGATTATTTACAGGCTGCTGTACATGGCTGGAAATTTGGAGACAAGCATTATTCACTCACTCACTGAAGGATTGTTGTATGCAGCCCTCTGCAAAGTGATAGAAAGTATTTTATTCCTATCATGACCTGGCTGCAGTAGTGTGTATTTGTAACCTATGGTTACAAATGCTTACACTATCAGTGATTTTGCTCGAGTCTATACAAATGACCAAAGGACATTTACTGATTTTTATCAACTTTTGATGGGACATTCTTCTTAATCATTACCAAATCTGAACTGTTGGAAACACTGATCTACTGAGTTCTATGCTCACGAAGTGATATGTTACAAGCGGCTGTTGCCCTATTGTTTTTTTTGTGGAATCCACGTCATGCTAGATTGAGATGGGTGGTTGTAATGTGTGATCTTGAAGATTGTGTGTCGTTTCAGCTGAAAGGCATGTATCATTGCTATTTTGAGTTGATTTCTTTGAAATATATTTCTTTTTTTCATTAGGTTCGGCCATAACTGGACCAGTTGCAAAAGAATGTGCAGACCTTTGGCCCCGTATTGCATCAAACGCAAGCTCCATTTCCTAAGTGTAACTAAGGGGGTAAATAAAGGGGTCTGTGTTAATAAGTGTTTTGTGTTTCTTTAAATTGTTTACTGCCCAAATCAGTAAACAAAGGTATCAACCGTGTGCACCTGGAGTGATTCTAGCGCAGAATAGTTCCTTTGTGTTTCAGGGATGTCAGAGTGAATAGATATATACTACTCAAAACAAGTTAAAGGACACTCACAATTGGAATGCTGTGTGCAGCAATTACCATCCAGGCATGACATTAACTATAGTCATATGAAAAAAAATCGATGTTCTTCAACTTCTTTCAAGTATACATGCACTTAGCATACCCCTTGGCATTACCAGATATTACACAAACTGCTTCATATTATCTTGAGGGCTTGCAGAACATCAGGCTTCTAGAAGGTGTCCTTGTACATGTAATGACTATTCAGGCTACTTGAATGATTGATATCAGCTTGTAATTGTGAATACTACTTAATACTTGTGTGTTCTGCTGGTCACCAACTTTTGTGACATGCTTTGAATGCATTGAACCCTGTTGTAGCTGCCACAGATGGCAGATTGTTTTGGACCTGACACTGAAGTCTGTAAGTCAAAGTCAGTAATGAAAATACAACAATCTTTTATTCTACGAGACTCTTGACACTGCTATGGCTGAATATTAATGAAATTTTGGATTTTCACAACAAATACATATATTTGGTCTAGGTTTCTAAAGGAACACCAGGATAAGGATATAACATACATGTATGTATACAATATTCTGTATATACAAATATCGCTGTAGAGGTCTTCAGAATCCCATGATTGCTGTAAGAGGCGATCAACAGGATCGGGTGGTCAGACTCGTGTGGACTTGGTTGATGCTTGTCATTGTATCCCAACCGCGTATAGATCGCCGCTCATGTCAAGCACTGGATTGTCTGGTCCAGACTATTATTTACAGACCGCTATCGCATAGCTAGAATATTGCTGAGAGCAGCATTACAAACAACCAGTTTATACAATAACATACAATCTTAATCTCAAGCAAGTACAACACACCTTTGAATAATCCTCAGCAGTTATGACTAACAATGGTTTACTATACAGCAACTACGCATCTTGGAAGTCATCAAATAGATATTTTTTAAATATTTTTCCTTGCTCTGTTAACTTGAGTGGTATTGTGATATGATTACCTTTATTCTGGTTAACATGGTGTGAGCACCTTTCAATATTCATAGCAACAGATCTGGAAGCATATTTTACAACGTATATAGGTCTCTACATGTATCAACAAAAAGGTTATGTTGTGCAACGTTTTCTGTAAATCATACACATCTGACCCGTGTAAAAGTCTATAAAAAAAAGCGTAAGACATTAAAAAGTCTCAACTGTAAACCGAATTTAAACAAAGCTACATAAAGTACACATACTCTGTCTAAACATCCCCTAAAAATTGTCTAATAGTGTTGGGTGAGGATGTTGAGATTGGTTGTTATCAAACACTGGTTTCTCGTGAAGGAGTTGTCCCCAGTATCGTCATCACCACAAACCACCTGCCCCTAACCAGATCAATTGCCAATAGAATATACAACCCAAATTCATGGAATTATCTTGCAACAGTTAACATATTGAATACAAGATTTTAAGTGCCACTTCTCAAACAAATGTGGTAAATTTGTTGTCTGAGACTAACATAAGCCTAAGGCCAAAAGAAATGATAGTCTTGGTCCTCGGGCACCTCTGCATCATCATAAAAAGTCTGCCGCACATTTCGTTTTTATTTCCATTTTCCAAAAAATCAAAAAAAATCTAATACTTAAAACAATGCTATCCAATATAGAATGCAGTTACTTCCCTTAACATGTCTGCAATAGGAGTTTGTATTCTTGTATTTGTAGGGAGACCCTTTCCCAGGTTGATGGTACACAACTGTTTATTTGATTACCCTATACATACTACTTTGAACAAGCAAAACCCCCCCCCCAAAAAAAAAACAGGAGCATGGAAACACTTCGTGAATCAATATTGCACAACAGATAAGAGTTGAGCTTTCTAATATTGTTCTTAAAGATGTATTTGCAAGTTCTCAATGCCAAGTTATCTGTTCATGGGCAGATTTCATTTGTGCAACCAATCTGAACATCCTGAAAGAGTGTAACAAGGGGGAATCCTGACTCACAAATATAACCCATTTGTTTCAAAAGATTAATAATAAAACCTAAAATATTCAGAAAAATATATCAAAATTTAAAGAGATTCCCCCTTGTTATCTGTAGGACTGACCAGCAAACTTCAGTGTAATGTGAAGGTGATCAACAGAATCAGTCCTCTGAACGAATCTTGCAGGACTTACTGACAACTTCATTGCCAAACTCTTCAAAGAATATCAGGATTCTGTTCTTATTGGAACCATAGTCTTGAATCAGTACTAACAACAATATCAAACCAAACCTTGCAATAAAGCATTTTTTCACTATAATAAAATTGAAAAAACACAACTGCATCAAAATATGTTTGGTCCAACAATTGGCTAGTACATTCTTACTGACTTCAAGGATTCCAGAAGTATTAGCTGACATTCTTGGAAGGGGCAAGAGCAGTCGTGAAGGACCTGCAAGATGATTATGAAGATCAAGTGACTCGAAGATCCATTGACCACATAGGAGGCTTGTTGTCGTACATCTGTTCTGTGAACGTTCGGGCCCCATCTGCGTTTTCATTTGATGAAGATGCTGCACCATCATCTGTGGTGACAGACTTTTCACCTTCTTGTGACTTTGAAACAAGGTCAGCTGCATCGATTTCTGAACTGTATGGGTCCTCCAGGAGTTTCAACACTCGTTTCACTTCAGAGTAGTCTCCCTTCTCGGCTGAAGCTATTGCATTCTGGGCGATGTAGTTGCGCAAGACGATCCTGAACATCAAAGGATTGACATTGAAACTATATATCATTGTGTGCTTATTAACATCTATTTGTCATAAGATGGGGAATGCATTGTGCCCCAAGTGATTGTTTCAATTGTTTGTACTGTCAGTGCATTCTTACAATTGAATATGACATCATCCACAGTTCATGACATCACAGAAGACATTATGTGGTGCAGATGAAACAATTGGATCAGGTAAAGATGGTTACTGTACCAACACAGACCATGGGTACAAACACATGCTTTTATTATGCAAACTTTGTGACTGTTGGGTGCTGTAGTCATCACTGATAGTGTGAGTGAGTGTGTTAATATTTAACATCACATTGATAACATTTCAGCCATAATGTGACGAGAAGTGATACATTGAAAATACATATATTTAGATCAAATAAATAAAAAACGATGGACAGTAAAATAACTATATTATCACAGATTAATATTTAAAACTAGCATAAAACCATAAAAAGATATCACTACATGTAACAATACATAATAAAAAAGGGCTATAGATTGCCAGCAGCTGAAGGTGGATCACCATGCTAGGGTCCATGGGGACTTACAGTACTTTTGCTACCTGCATGGACCCCAGGTTTACATCATCCCTTCAGGTTTTGGCAATTATTGTCAAATTTAGCCAAAGTTAAATGAACACATATTGTACGATTAAAAATGTGGCAGGTAAAAATTACTCCGAATGACGTGGTCTTACATACCCTCTCTGGGGGACAATCATTTTACACTTCTTCAACCCCCATCAAGGGTACAGCCACTAACAATCCAAGTTAACTAATTTCCTTCAACCAAGTCTAAAAAGATAATTTATTAATTACAAAACCTATGTTTCAAAATTGATTTAATAATTCTATTTCTTTATAAACAAGAGCAAAAGTGAGCTTGGCTCACTAATACCCCCAACCCGCCTAGTGTGTCGGTAGTTTCAAATTAAATTGCTAGGATAGGCTTAGGGTTTGAAAAATTAATTAAAAAAATAATTCTTTTGACTGCACCCCTCCATATGACATAGATTATATTTACTAAGTTTGAGATGAATCCACTGAATAGTTTAAGAGAAATCGCGCAGACAAAGTTTTCGGATGGACGGACGGACAGACGGACGGATAGAACCTTGGTATAACTATAATATATACCCCCGACATTTTAGGTCGGGGGTATAAAAAAATAAATTAAATGGGAATCAATACAATTAAAAAGATCCCTGTCAGTGATCCATTCATACAATTTTCACAGCTATTTAGCCTTTAACACCAATGGAATCAGTTTGGAAAGATAAAAGAGACTGATTATTCTCTGTCATGGACATTTTAGAATACACGGAATAACCACCTCCAACCCATTTACTGACTATCTGGAATAAAGCTGTGAGTACTTTGTCAAGGCCTCGAGACTTGATGGTCTCACCTGGGGTTGTTGCTGTTCATGAGCTCCACCCTTCTCCGGTTGACAGCCTCCACATCTTGCTCCCCCGCCACCTCCTGTGCAAGTCGCCCCATGTACTTCGTCAGCCATTTGGTCCAAGCATCTCGGTCTTTTCCTTCCTTTATTTCTTGTGTCAGATCCTGGGAACAGTTCAAAAAGAATTCTCAAGACAGAGGTTATAGATATGAGTGAGTTTGGTTTAACATTGTTTTGAACAGTATTACAGTTATATCACAGCATGTTAGCTTAATGAAGGGAGAAAATCCTGATGTGATGCAGGCCTCAGACGTGTTATCACTTTGGTGAAACCCACAAACTGACAAACCAAGACACATAAACAGGGCGAACAGGATTTCGAACAACAAATATAGGTACTGCATACCAAAGGGACGCAGCTCTGCACAGCGTATTGTGGCTCCTAGGATAAATGGGCCCCCTGTGGCCCCTAACAGATATGGCAAAGCACTAAAGTGGTTGCTTAGTCTCTGTAACACACTAGGAATGTATTGTTACTTTGAATGTTTTTCTGACCTGTCCCTTACAGGAACCAAGTCACCAAGAGTTTTACAAATCCTCACAAAGCATAAAAAGCCTTGACACAAAGAAGATAATTTTTAGTTTAATTATATTAATATATTTGATTAACTAAGGTTGTCTGTATATGTCCTTCCTCAACATAACTTTTACATAGAAACTGAAACATTTGGAGGATGTTTGTGGTAAATACATCCTCTCTATCCAAAGTGGCCCTAGCAAACATGGCAAGGAGGCCTGGGTGAGACTGGCTCAACATCACTACTAGATGGACTCACCTTCATCTCTTCCTGTTTCTCCATCCTCTCCAGCTCCTTGGTGAAAGACAGGAAGCCACGGCCAAGCATGGGGAGCAGGCCTGGGTTAGACTGGCTCAACATCACTACTAGATGGACCCACCTTCATCTCTTCCTGTTTCTCCATCCTCTCCAGCTCCTTGGTGAAAGACAGGAAGCCACGGCCAAGCATGGGGAGCAGGCCTGGGTTAGACTGACTCAACATCACTACTAGATGGACTCACCTTCATCTCTTCCTGTTTCTCCATCCTCTCCAGCTCCTTGGTGAAAGACAGGAAGCCACGGCCAAGCATGGGGAGCAGGCCTGGGTTAGACTGACTCAACATCACTACTAGATGGACTCACCTTCATCTCTTCCTGTTTCTCCATCCTCTCCAGCTCCTTGGTGAAAGACAGGAAGCCACGGCCCAGCATGGGGAGCAGGCCTGGGTTAGACTGACTCAACATCATGAGCATCTGCAGCTGTCTGGAAGAATCAGGACAAAACACAGAGATCAGGGACATGGTCTGGAGTAATCGATATTCCCTCCCACATCAGAGAATTATTTTTAATTGGTCTAACAGAAAATAAATATATGCTTCCTACTAACTTTTAGCAATATTCCAGCAATATCACGGAAGGTGACACCAGAAATGAGGTTTACCTATCGTACCCATGTGTGGAATCGAACGTGGGCCTTCAGTGTGACGAGCAAAAGCTTTAACCCCAGGGCTACCCTACTGCCCCCATTTTGTTTGTGAAGTGTCCTTTAGGAATATAATGTCGGATTGTTGTCATGGATAATCAAAGTCATCTATTGTTTATGACACTGTATATGATTATAATTGTCTTTGTTGAAATGTTATTTCAGGACCAACATTTTCTTACAAAAAGAAGTAAACTTGAAACTTGAAAGGGGTGATATGAAGAAACCCTTGAGGTATGTGATTATACGCATATTTATAGAATACCAACGAGCTTTGAGGAATTACAGATAATCCATTAATTGGAGTTTTGAGTAAGGTTTTCTATATATTACTCAGAACAGAAATGAAGACAAAATGTATGAAATGTCAACCCTACAGAGAAATTTCAATGAAGGCAGCCTATTGTTCAGATGACAAAATGTAATCAGTTTGTGATGTCACAAAAAATGGATGATATAATATCGTCATTTTCTTGACAAAGAAGCACTGTGATGTCATGGTTTCAACTGACCAATCAGCATTGAGAATAATTAAAATGCACATGCAAATATCAGGAAGTTATTACACACAATCACCCTGACCTTAAGGGTAATATTAATATATTTCCAAATGAATTAATTCTCAGTTTTGTTCACTCCGTTTCTTTTACACAAAATCTGACCTGGGGTCCATCTGTGTCTGGTTGGCCTTCCTCAGCTCCTCTACCGTGGTGCACTGGGTCAGAAGGTAGTCGGTGACATCCTGCAGATCCTGTTCCGCTGTGGCACCGCCGGGCAGGGACACTCGACTCAGGCAGCGGAAACTGTTGGTGAAGTCACAGCTTGTGGCCTGCATGGTGTCCATCAACAACTCCACCAGATCGCTGTCCGTAAATTAAGAGAGTGAGTATGGTGGCGGTGCTTTGAAAAGTACACAAGCTACATCATGACATGTAGCTTGATTGTAGTGGGTGTTGGCTTGATTGGGGTGAGTGAGTGAGTGAGTGAGTGAGTGAGTGAGTGAGTGAGCGAGCGAGCGAGTTTAATTTCATGTTGCTTTTAGCAATATTGCAGCAACATCATGGTGGGGAACATCAGAAATGGGCTTCACACATTGTACCCATGTCGGGAATCGAATCCCAGGTCTTCAGCGTGATGAGCTATTTCTTAAGCCACTAGGCTACCCAACTGCCCTTGTTGCAGTCTGAAGTGATGCAGGTCTTAGATGTTTATCACTTTGGGGGAAAACCAGGAGCATGGGTATGATATATAATCTGGACAAACTGATTTGAAACCAGGATCATAGGATCATATGCCAAAGGGATGCAACTCCGCACCGCTACATGTTGTAGACTTTGGTATGGTGCCATTATTTTGACTGTATATAGTGGGAACTGATCTTATAATATAGTAAACTACGGTTATTACAAACTCAAAGGGACCACTAATTTTAGTTTGTTATGACCATAGTTTGTTATAAGCATATGTACAGTATATACAGCAGACCAAAAACAGTTTGTTATATCCGTCAGTTGGTTATAAGCGTGTTTGTTATTAGCGAAGTTTACTGTATATCTTAATGTGGTATTAACTATACTTCTTGAATCATAAATTCCCATTTTTATTGACATACATTTTATTTGTTTCTTTCTTGTTTAACACGGCACTCAGCAATATTCCAGCTATATGACGTCGGTCTGTAAATAATCAAGTCTTGACCAGACAATCCAGTGATTGACATCATAGGCATCAATCAAAGCAATTGGGAAATGATGACATGCATCAACCAAGTCAGCGAGTCTGACCACCCGATCCCGTTAGTCCCCTCTTACAAGCAGTCACCTTTTGCTACGGACAAGGGAAGTAACTTACCCATCTTCTGGTAATTCCTTCATCAGGCCCAGCTAGAGGAAGAACCACAATGCAATTTTAATGTCCAGTAAGGAAAAAATGAGTTAAAGTGTTCAGAAACACATTAATAATAATATTGATGTAACAAATCAAGGAAGCCTCAGTGGCTGTGTTGGTTAGATCACTGATTTTGTGTGCTAGCGATTAGGTGCCTCAGCCAGGCAGTGTGGGTTTGAATCCTGGACTGGAAAAAGAATGAGAATCTGTTCTTTACAAAGAAAGTGTTATCCCAAATAAACATTTGTGACTTTTGACAACTTTCTAAATGGCATTGTGTGTTCATAATAATATTGATATCAAAAATGATAGCAGAGGCTTCAGTTCAGTTCCTGTTCTCCATCATGCCCCAGTATATCAAGTGAGTGAGTGAGTGAGTTGGGTTTAACACTGCTTTTAACAGTATTCCAGTTATATCACGGTGTGTCAGCTTAATGTGGGAGGAAAGCCCCAAGTGATGCAGGTCCCAGACGTTTACCACTTCAGTGAAATCCACGAGCACGGGTATGGTGCTGACAAACCTAGAAACATAATCAGGGCGAACCGGGATTCAAACCCATAATCATAGGTTTCTGGTGTGCCCAAGGGACGCAACTCTGCACAGGGAATCGTGGGGCCTAAGACGACTGGGCCACCCTACTATATCAAGGTGAAGGATGGGTTTCCCACAGGATGAAATGATAACATGACTTTTACCTTGAGAGTCTTAATCACAGCTGTCACAGCCTACTCAATGAGACTTGTGAAATATTTCTCGTTCCCTACAAACTGTTACAGAAGCGATAATATGTCATTTGATTGGGCACAGTTTCATTAGGTCATGCTCCAACTGTGGCCCCAGACCAAAGAGTAGGCGATTAATTTGACCCTGATATATGTATCCTGATATATGTAGGGCTGGGACGAGTACAAATTTACTACCCAGGTACCCACCCCCCTATTACCCGACCCTATTACCCGACAAAATGTCCGATTGGGAATAGTTTGACCATAGCCCTGTACAATATGTATTTAGATACAGGTATAAAACGATCTGGTCATGCATGCACTGAAGTTGACTGAAGTCTTATCTTTATTCAAAAGTACAAAAGTCAGAAGGAATGGGTGCATAATCAGAAAGAAATGCAAATATTAGTGACATGTAGTGTAACCATATAATTCTAGATCATTTTCGGCATTAAACAATATATCACATGACTAACCACGGGTCTGGGTAGTCCTGTGGGTACCCGGGTCCTTCTCAGTACCCACCCGACCCCGAGTACCCAAGTTACCTGTCCCAGCCCTACTTAACACCCTCATCCATCATCATTCTCACCTTCTTCCTCATCTTCATCTTGTAATGGTCAGCATACACTTCATCAAACACTTCATCCACTGCTGGCCGGGTAACGGGGAGAGGAATAGCATCCTTTATAGCCTCTGCAAGTTTCACACAATTCCACTTGCAGACTTCTGGTTGATTCTTGTACGTGTATCTACCGCCATCATCTACACACAAAACCATCACGTTGTACACATACACCAGCCAATACTACACAACCAACCTGCACAAAAGCTTATGTTTTCTGGAATATATAAATATAAAAAATGTTTGGCAAACAAGCCCAGGTTTCGGGACGACTTGTGAAGTCTTTTACCACTAGCCTTAGCTATCCTCTGATCTGGCTTAAGTATTAGATAACTGATGCGTTATATGTTTGAATACATGTTTAGTCACTGAGTTCAGTCTCTCACCTTGTATAGGTGTTACTTGGTGATAAAGTGAACACTCATTCCTGCATTGTCACAGTTAAGTCAATGTGTGGCAAATTACACATAAGTATATAAATCAATGAATTCAATACATGGTCATTGGTTCGATACAGAAGAAACAGGTAAACCAGCGGTTGACATTATGAGCAACATCCAATGTCTGTAACCATGGCAACTACCTTTTTTTTCTTTTTTCTCCATTCTTTATTTCCAGAATATAGGTTGTACAGAGTAACATAAACAACAGGGTAAATAGATACAGAATTCTGGGTTCTTATACGTAGAATTCATTCACTCACAGTCATAACTTGAGGTACTGGAGATACTTCATTAAAACTCAAGAACAGTGATCACATATTCACTAAATTGTTGAATCATGATATGTTCAGTTTATGCATGTTTGGTTCCACGGTTTATTTATCACAGTTAAATCTACAAGTAACCTAGCTCTACATTAACACACAGCATGGTTTTATCCTAATGATCTCTATTAATCTTACCTGAGCCATTGCAGATGAAGTTGGGATCAAACTTGTCCATGAAACCATAGGGGCCATAATCGATGGTGAGTCCTACAATGCTCATGTTGTCTGTATTCAACACACTAGAACACAAAGGTGATTTCATTAGTCAGTGTACATCATAGGGTCTTATGATAATAATTGCTAGACTTTTCCTGTACCTGGCTGGATAGTGCAGCTGACACTGTGGCCAGTAATCTCCTGACTGGTTGTACAGTGGAGGAACTCACCCACGACACCAGCCCACACCATCCCACTTATCTGTCTGTAGAGGAGTGTACAGTGGAAAAACTCACCCATCACACACCCTCCCACTAATCTGGCTGTACAGGAATGTATGGTGGAGTAACTCACCCATCACACACACACTCCCACTAATCTGGCTGTACTGGAGCGTATGGTGGAGAAACCCACCCATCACACACACACTCCCACTAATCTGGCTCTACTGGAGCGTATGGTGGAGAAACTCACCCATCACACACACACTCCCACTAATCTGGCTGTACTGGAGCGTATGGTGGAGAAACCCACCCATCACACACACACTCCCACTAATCTGGCTGTACTGGAGCGTATGGTGGAGAAACTCACCCATCACACACACACTCCCACTAATCTGGCTGTACTGGAGTGTACGGTGGAAAATCTCACCCATCACACACACACTCCCACTAATCTGGCTGTACTGGAGCATATGGTGGAGAAACTCACCCATCACACACACGCTCCCACTAATCTGGCTGTACTGGAGTGTACGGTGGAGAATCTCACCAATCACACTCACTCCCACTAATCTGGCTGTACAGAAGTGTACAGTGGAGAAACTCACCCATCACACACACACTTCCACTAATCTGGCTGTACAGAAGAGTACAGTGGAGAAACTCACCCATCACACACACACTCCCACTAATCTGGCTGTACACAAGTGTACAGCGGAGAAACTCACCCATCACACACACCCTCCCACTAACTTGGCTGTACACAAGTGTACAGTGGAGAAACTCACCCATCACACATACCCTCCCACTAATCTGGCTGTACACAAGTGTACAGCGGAGAAACTCACCCATCACACACACCCTCCCACTAACTTGGCTGTACACAAGTGTACAGTGGAGAATCTCACCCATCACACTCACTCCCACTAATCTGGCTGTACAGGAGCGTACAGTGGAGAAACTCACCCATCACACACACTCCCACTAATCTGGCTGTACAGGAGTGTACGGTGGAGAATCTCACCCATCACACTCACTCCCACTAATCTGGCTGTACAGGAGTGTACGGTGGAGAAACTCACCCATCACACACCCTCCCACTAATCTGGCTGTACAGAAGAGTACAGTGGAGAAACTCACCCATCCCACTAATCTGGCTGTACAGAAGTGTACAATGGAGAAACTCACCCATGACACCAGCCCACGCACTGCCACTCTGCCACTAGTCTGGCTGTTCGCCTCACAACCTCCTTAAAGAACTCCAGGTACATCGTCTGTTTCACTGCATTGTGTGCTTCCCAAATCTGTAGAGTTAGTTATTATTCTAGATTAGCCGGAAAAATGAAAACAGTTGGTACTCAGGCATTGGCTTTTCAAATGTCTAAGAATATGTTGGAAGCAGAAAATAATCCTTTTATCATGTTCATTTGAGTGAATCCAAAATACTCATTACCCTTTGTAAACCTTATTATCTCCAACACATCTTGTGCAAATTGCATAGATATGGAAGTACATTTGTTTATGTTACAAGCTTAAATGTACATGATGGCCTCAAGTATGTAGCCATTTTAATTTTTGTGAGTCAGTGAGTTGGTTTTAATGCCACTTTGAACAATATTCCAGTTATATCACGGTGTGTCATCTTACTGCGGGAGAACAACCCGAAATGATACAGGTCTTAGACATTTCCCGATTTTGTAAAACCCACAAGCAAGTGTATGGTGCTGTCAAACCTAGAAACACAATCCAGGCGAACTGGGATTAGAACCTACGATCATAGGTTCTGGCATGCCTAGACACAACTCTGCACAGTAAAACAAAAGAATTTCCACAAAAGATTATTATCATGTCTAGTCTTAGGGCATCACTTGCATTAGTGTTATCATGTTGGTGTTGTGAAACGTGTACCTCTGTGTAGAATGTCTTGATGGTGTATTCCAGCATCTGATGCAGCAGCTCTGTCTTGCCGACACTAGGACCTTTCCGACCAGACTCTGGGTCAGTGGGTTTAAAGATTTCAAAAGATCCAAACCTGCAAAATTAAAATCCTCAGTAAAATGGACCCCAGAAATGGTCTGCTTGTCTGTGACAAGTGAGTGAATAATATTTGATTCTGCATCTGCAAATTTTCAGCTTAATGAGGTGAGACATCAAGGACTAAGGAACACAACAGAAACTTGAATAAATTCTATTCATGTATTGTAGGTGAAGGAAAGCACTATTAAATATTGATTCGACTCCCCATAGAATAGTATTCTATATTCCATATTTGAGCAGGATGATATTTCTTGTGTTGCCTACCCCCATATGTACGCTTAACATAGGGGAGGTAGGAGGGGAAGAGACACCAGAAATGGGCTCACACACTCTATCCATAAGGGGAATTGAACCCGGGTCTTTGGCATGATGAGAGAAACCTTTCTCCTAAAGGCTAACCCCGATCATCCCAAATATGTCTGGTACAAACACAAATAACAAGACCCATGGCACTGACCTCAAGAACGTTGGAGCTATTCTAAGGACAATGGTGCACTTCTCCTCCTTAGGATTGCCGTTGTAGAAGATGTCCCTGATGACCGTCGTGTCTGATGTCACACACGTCCCTCCCCGTGTAGTGGGGACACCAAGGTGATGCATTGCCTGGGGATGACATGACACTTCATGTAACCATTGGTAACTGTTACAGAATAATATCAGAGCCATGAGCGGGCTCTGTAGCTCACCTAAATTTATCAAATATTTGCAACCTCATAATTCTAAGAATGCTTTTTTTACTGTTATTGGCTAAGATGATTTGATCATTAATAAAATAAAATCACAAAATTTAGAAATGTAAAAATTTGTCAAAATATGAAGTACTGTATTTCTAGTTTTGACAAGAGCTATTTTCAGTACCGGTTACAATGCTATAGGAATAAATAGGAAATGGGTCCACACTGATCAATATCAGTAAAAGAGATAATGTTATAAACAGCTCATAAGGCTCCATGTTCATCGTGCAAATCACAGAGACATGGTTATTGGGATCAAATACAAAAGGTTGTGCATCTGAATGAGTGAGTTGGGTTTAACGCCTCTTTGAACAGTATTCCAGATATATCACGGCGTGTCAGCTTAATGTGGGAGGAAAGCCCCAAGTGATGCAGGTCTAAGACGTTTACCGCTTTGGTAAAACCCACGGGCACGGGTATGGTGCTGACAAACCTAGAAACATAATTGGGGCAAACCGGGATTCGAACCCACAATCATAGGTTTCTCGCATGCCCAAGGGACGCAACTCTGCACAACGAATCCGCAGAGACTTAGATGACTGGGCCACCAGTGCCCCCTTCAGCATCTGAAGACCAATGATCCTATGTAAAACCATTGCATATCCAATAGTGATACTCAACCTCACTACAAAGAAATTCTCTGACAGTCACACCGTACCTTACAACAAAGAAATTCTCCGACAGTCTTACTGTACCTTGCTACAAAGAAATTCTCTGACAGTCTTACTGTACCTTGCTACAAAGAAATTCTCTGACAGTGTTACTGTACCTTGCTACAAAGATATTCTCTGACAGTGTTACTGTACCTTGCTACAAAGAAATTCTCTGACAGTGTTACTGTACCTTGCTACAAAGAAATTCTCTTACAGTGTTACTGTACCTTGCTACAAAGAAATTCTCTGACAGTGTTACTGTACCTTGCTACAAAGAAATTCTCTGACAGTGTTACTGTACCTTGCTACAAAGAAATTCTCTGACAGTGTTACTGTACCTTGCTACAAAGAAATTCTCTGACAGTGTTACTGTACCTTGCTACAAAGAAATTCTCTGACAGTGTTACTGTACCTTGCTACAAAGAAATTCTCTGACAGTGTTACTGTACCTTGCTACAAAGAAATTCTCTGACAGTGTTACTGTACCTTGCTACAAAGAAACTCTCTGACAGTGTTACTGTACCTTGCTACAAAGAAATTCTCTGACAGTGTTACTGTACCTTGCTACAAAGAAACTCTCTGACAGTGTTACTGTACCTCACTACAAAGAAACTCTCTGACAGTGTTACTGTACCTCACTACAAAGAAACTCTCTGACAGTGTTACTGTACCTCACTACAAAGAAATTCTCTGACAGTGTTACTGTACCTTGCTACAAAGAAATTCTCTGACAGTGTTACTGTACCTTGCTACAAAGAAACTCTCTGACAGTGTTACTATACCTCACTACAAAGAAATTCTCGGATGGTGCTCCTGAGCACCTTCCTTCCATCAGCAGTCCTGGAGTAGGGCGTAAGTCCTGATCCCTTGAACTGGATCTCCCATCTCTCATCCTTCTTGTTGATTACTTCGCCCAGGTACCTGACACAAGAACAGAGATTGATATGGAATGCTGACATCATTCATTCATGTTTTCATTACATACATGACAATATTTGGTTGCTATGGTTATTGGATATGTGTTTGAAGAAATGAAGGCAGAGCAACTTTTCAGTTGTATTACAAAAAAAATCTATTCAACACATGAAAGTGTTCACAGCAAATAACAGCAATTGTTTTTAATCAAATAAGGAATTAATCATTTCCAAATTCAAGATGATTATGACTAATATTTCAGCACTGCCGGGGTGACTTGTCTTTTACCATGTTTACTCATTATTCTGTCATGGCTGGAAACAGGAGTGGGATCACTGAAGAGAAAAAAGGGCCTCAATATTCTTTAATACTGTAAATTTGATGTCAATGAAGTAACTCATCAACTTATATTTATGTTCATATCTAGAATTTCACAGGTAGTGATAACATTACATGAAAAAAGGCATGTGAAGAATTATTGTTTCGTCATTATATTGCACTTGGTTAGAGTGTAGCAGAGCCCATATCCAATTTGTGTATACAATTTCACCAAATACTCATTGCTGTCAAAATACTTGTTTAAGATTGCTGCAGTGTATGAGATACAAGCCGATGACACAGATGTTTTTTAAAATCACCATCTCCAAGAGCTTTGATGTATTATACAAACTGCCATCTTTCTCTATTATGTCCAAAACCTGAGAAACTAGTATCATTGTTATCTGTATTGGTCTATTTCAAAATAATATATTTGAGACCAGAGTTTTACACGATGCAGACATGTCTACCCAGTATGCACAAAAGTAGAGAATGGACACAGATACAATATATAGTGTGTCCCTAAGGATGCACAGTGACATTCATTGTGCCAAATTCTTGACAAGAAAAAATAAAGTCCTGGTAATTAAAGTAATTATAAAATCTTACAATACAGTACACTACATCATTTAACTACTTTTATAGGACCCTCAACCTTCCTATAAAGACTTGAAATTAATTATTGGGGGACCCCCAGTTTTGTAATTCAAGGTAAAAACCATGTGAGAGGCGACAGAGATCCAACAGTCAAGACAAGGGGCATATGATGATGTGTTGAGTGTTGGATCATAACAGTGTTATTTTCTTGTCGTTAGCTTAATCATACAATACATCTGTAGAAGAGGTACACACATTGCGGCCCCATCTCCAAGCTGTCCGGCAAAAACTCCAAACTGATGTCCACAGTAGCAATGAGCAGCTGTTGTCGATCCCGGCAGAAGTTTGTTTCCACTGAAGTATTCCGCTGTATCAGGCCTCGTCAGCTCGCTCTCAGGCAGATCTAGCAGTTCCATTGCAGATTTTGAATACACAACGACCTCTGGGTTGGTTACAGGGGTGGGCTGCACTTTGGAGAAACACGCACCTGTGACGGGACGAATTCGTTTTTCTTCGCACGGATCTATCGGTAGTTCCCGTAGGACAAGATTGTCGAACTTGAGTGTTTCTAATGTTGCCATTTTTCTAAATGTTCTTGCTATCGGAGCAAATATTCTGAACACTTGGCGTTTGAAGAAACCAGGGTGAGAACAAGTTTGCAGTGACGAAAAACAGTGACTCGGCCTATTACATCTTACTTCAGCGATGACAGATGGTGTCAGTCGCCTTAACATCGACAGATCGCCTCACGAAGCCAGATTTTAATTCTACGTGCACTAAATATATGGTGAATAATGCAAGTTCATTCCTGCATATTGTCCATTATGGCTACATAATTTCTTAACTTAACTTTCCAAAAACAGGTTTGTTTTCACAGGAAACGGAAGTACAGCCCGCCACCTACTGTTGCGCATCTGGAGACTTGGCTACTGTCTACTACATGTATGTGTCGGGCGCTGGAAGGAGCTTGGTAAATAAAGGATTGTCGTTCTTCGCCGCCGTTTCTGTGCGTTTTATGATATCTGATGTGTAAAGCGCCTGTAAAATCTTCACGTGCGTGATTACTGTAGATCCACACGGACCGCTAAAAAGACATGAGCTGAGTGAGGGAATTTCGGTTTTAAGCTTAAGTTAGAAATATTCAAGTGATATCTCGACGGGGCACACAAACAGATGGGGAATCGAACGAGTGCCCTCCCATGTCCTTGGCCTTTATGGTGTATTTTTGTGAGTGGTTTAGTCACGGCCTTACAGGTCCGTTGTTCAGGTTAGAGTTCAGGGACTTTACACTTAAACTGCGGCACGTCTAATTTGTTTTTGTTGATAATCTTTTATGCATCAAACAGCGTAGGCCATATGCTCTTTCTATATTACAGAATATACAGTGTGAGTATTTAATGTACAACATCAGGGACCATATAATAGATCTATTATATGGTCGCTGACAACATGCAATAAAACGGTAATACATGCATAAGGATTATAAACCGTCGTGCAAAAGAATGTGAATACTTCATAATTGGATTCGATCAAACAAAATACAAACCTTATCAAACACAACTAAGTTGAAAACAGTCGCCGAATCACTGCAAACCTAAGGTCATAAATACAACTATTATACCCGTATCAAATACATTACCATCGAATAACAACTTTTTGGTTGATTCATTTTTAGCCACCAACATACATGGGTGCAATACTGTCGTTTGCCCAGCTGTTTGTTGATCAGGGAAATGAAGTAATTATTTTAGTGACAAAATAAATACAATTTCAAGTTGTAGAAATTATATCTCCGGTGTGTAAGTATAATTCCCCCGAGAACTCCACGTGAGTATGTTGAGCCAAATGACACGGCCTCTTACATCACACACGCTTTTGTGATGATCTTCAAAGAACTTATCGCTATGACCACCACTTGCCTTTTGATTCAGTACCTTTCTCATGAATATCAGCTGCAGGATTTGGGCGAAGAACTTTGAGGCTGAGGACAACAGGAGCTTGTGGGCGTCCAGTTGATGCCTGTCCCCCAGGAGGAAGGTGACGTCCGAGAACTCTGGGTCCTCCAGGAGCTGGTACCGGTGTTCAGAAAGCATGGACGTCTCTATCTCCGTCCACGGGGCCAGGCCTACAATGTTATGATGATGATGATGATGATGATGATGACTGAAGCCTGACGCATTGGTGATATTAACTATACAGTTATACCAACTGCAACTCCTATCCATCATAATGAAAACATTACCGGATATCTTATGTCAATTATTACCAAATATAATCTAAATAAATACCTGTGTTCATTACACGGGGCCGAGATTTATTTCCTTTTGGTTTGGTAAAGTTACAAGGTGAGTGAGTGAGTGAGTTAAGCTTTGTAGTCACATCGGCAATATTTCAGCCATATTGTTACTAAAATAAGTTATACATAAATAATACATAAATCTTGACGCTAAAACCTGTCAACAAAGGACAGTAAAACAACTAGACTATCACAGATATAGATTTAAAAGTAGTATGTTACCATAAAAAGATGACTTGTACCATATGTTCCCGTGTTTTTTTAGGTGAACAATTGACTTGCATTTGCACGTGTTTGTGACGAGTGCCACCGGTGGGGCAGGATATGCTCACTTTTTCGCGAATACCTGGTAACATCACTATTTGATGGGGTTCATAAGCACAAGCTCATGATATCGTCGGAATCGTACAATCGACTCTATTTTTGGCACATAAGGATTTATCGCTTTTATTTATTGATTTGAATATAGCTTTGTGAGATATTGTAAGACAAGTTTTATCCGACGTTGTTTTAGTGACGGCCCACCAGCCTCCACATACAGACTATTGATAGAGGATGTTCTGAAGGCTCCATGGCAAAGTGTCATGCCTTGATGATGAATACAATGTGATAGTTTGAAATTACTTTTACTGGCTGCACCATCGATGATGGAGCCATATTCAAGTTTAGAGCGAATAGGTGTTCTATACAGTTGGAATTTGAATTTGAAACAGCTTTCAGTATGCCTAGTTTGACACGAGTGAGTGGAAGTCCTCACCCTAGCAATGACAACTCATCGGATGTCCATTCTGTTATTTCTAGTGTTTGAATAACATATTGTTCTAAATAAACCGTGGTGTGGTAATATATAGTTGTTTGTTTTTATATTCAAGTTTCTGTTTCCGTTATTCAAAGTGTGCAGTGAGGCCATCTTTTCAACAGTCAGTTCTGGGCTATAAATACAAAGTTTAATTTATTAAGTTCACTCGCATTTTTCGCATTTAATTAATTTTCGCGTTAATTTAAAGCGTTGCAGTATATACTATTCAAAAGAAGTTAAAGGACACAGGATTCTTTCATATGACTATGTTTAATCAGTCATTAGATAAAGCGATATAGCGAGAAAGGGAGAAAGCGATAGAGCGATATTTCCATTACGCCGTTCCTTAAATTTCTTTTGGCTGATATTCAGTGATCCATTCCTACAAGTCTGATACTCAGTATTATTGAACATTTTGTAGTAGATAACAGGCCATTACCAAATAACCATAACGTTTTCCTGAACCTAATCCGAAGGGATAATGGCAGAACTTACATAAATGCGCAACGTGACTCTCACATACATTGTGTAAAAAGTTATGAATATATCACGAGTGACTCTGTCCTTGAGCCCTGCATGAAAAGGAAACAAAATGATATGGATGTACAATGCAGTAGCTTTGTTTCAAATTAGTCGCTGACTGACGAATTGGCAATAGTTCAGATAATAGTCTTTGAAGTTGGTAGGTGGATGTCTGGAGCGTGTAGGCCGTCTTGTGGGGATGCAAGTGGGAACACTTGTATCATTCATGTGTAACTGGGGCTGGATATCGCGAGACGGGTTGTCCTTCTGCGGTACGGCTTCCTCTGAATGAGCTTCCACTGATAAATGCACCCTCCATCGATGAGGGTGCCAGTGAGGGTTGAGGGGGTATAGAGAGCTCTGAAGGTACCACATGTAATTCGGGTGGGCTAGGCGCAAAGATCCACATGGCATCTTCCGATCCATAGGACTCTGGAGCACACTGGTCTTGAACAGCTCTCGCGGTCTGAACTACTTGACAGTCCGACAACTTGACACGGTATGATGTGATCCTCAGCTGTGAACCCAAGATTTTCCAAAGGATACACCGAGCCCAATGTACCTGTACGCCCGTATGACTTATGACCATCAATATGGAGATATACAAGATCTCCAACAGTAATACTCTCAGTTGGAAGTATCTTCCGCAAGAGCGCCTTGGATCTCTCGCTGTTAGTGGGCTGTTTCTGACGATGATCATGTTGTTGTTTGATTAAATCCATATCTGAGATAGGAATCTGTGATTGAGAGAGTTGATTTCACTGGGTCAACATTCCCCAAGACGAGAAGACCCTTGGCCGAATTCGAGAATTGAGGCTGTTAGTAACTACAACAAGGGTCACTGAAGTTGTGGAACCACCAACAAGGTCCTGACATAACAGTTCGTGTTCAAGCTCTTGAATGGCACGTTCGGCAACTGTATTCTAGTTGATGTTGTTGCTCTGCCAATCTCCAAGCATTTCAATCGGATCCGGAATCAATGTATAAGAGTATATGACTCACGTCGAAAAACGTATACGTATATAAAAGGGACGTACCTTTCGCAATGGTTCGTGAATATGTTTAACCTTACGATTTCACATACAGTGGTATCGTTCGGATATACGGAGGCGTTACTGTATGTATATTTATACATTCAATACAACAATATACCTGTCATTAATAAGTGTTATCTCAAGTCAAACTCAAAACGCCATCAAACGATCATTAATCAGAATGATCCATTTCCGTGTCATATAAATCTGTCACACCAGGATTTAATTATACTCTTTACTTGGCGCGATGACGTGTTTGCACGTGATTTATAACACTACTAATAACAGTGTCAATCATTCGTCCTACGGGGATTTCTAAAGAACATGGTGTCGACAGAACCAGTGTTGAATGAATCGCATGATCGTTATGAAGATTGTACCCCAATGTCATACAGGATGTATGTAGGTGCGACTGTACAGGTAACGTGAACAATCAAGCTATGCTCCTGGTGTATATAAGCCGTAACGTTGCGTGGCGGTACGTCCTGGGTGTTTGACGCTTCCTACGTTCCCTACATATCGGCAGTCCAGTTCTGGGCGACTTTGGCGGTAGGTGATGTCCAATGATTTGACGATGACAGATAGACGGACAGTTGGTAGACAAAGAGTACGGATGCACCATCTTCCTTAAAGAGGGACTAGATCTCCATGGTCCATTTCAATGGTCAGTCCTGGTCAAGACATAAATAATGGCTTTAGTGAAACGGAGACATTGTTGTATTGGTTTAATTAGAGTATAAGCATATCTTGTATTTGGTATATGATATAGTATAGTCCGTGAGTTGTCTTTCAAACAGAGAGTGAGTGAGTATAGTTTTCCGCCGTTTTTGGAAATATTCCAGCAATACCACGGCGGGGGATACCAGAAATGGGCTTCACACATTGTACCCATGTCGGGAATCGAACCCGGTCTTCGACGTGACGAGCTAACGCTTTAACCACTAGGCTTCCCGACCGTCCTTCAAACAGAGAGAGGTAACGTGAACAATCAAGCTATTTTGCTGGTGTATAAAAGCCGTTGCGTGGCGGTACGTCCTGGGTGTTTGACGCTTCCTACGTTCCCTACATATCGGCAGTCCAGTTCTGGGCGACTTTGGTGGTAGGTGATGTCCAATGATTTGACGATGACAGATAGACAGACAGTTGGTAGACAAAGAGTACGGATGCACCATCTTCCTTAAAGAGGGACTAGATCTCCATGGTCCATTTCAATGGTCAGTCCTGGTCAAGACATAAATAATGGCTTTAGTGAAAC